GGTTTCTTTCGGGCCACAGTTGAAAGTGTACTGCTTTATGGTGCTGAATGCTGGACGATGACTGGAAAGATGATGAATAGACTAGATGGTACGTACACAAGAATGCTCAGAGCAGTTCTTGGAGTTTCCTGGAAGGAGCATAAAACCAACAAAGAACTGTACGGCAATCTTCCTAAGATTACAGATACACTGATGATCAGGAGGCTGCGGTTTATAGGACACTGTTGGAGAAAAAAGGATGAGGTGATAAGTGATTTACTACTCTGGGAACCAAAGCACGGCGCAAGAAAGAGAGGAAGACCAGCATTAACATACGTAGACCAGCTGCAAAATGATACTGGTTTGAGCATAGCTGAACTGAAGAACATCATGGAAAACCGGAAGGAATGGATGAAGCTAGTTAATGGAGTTCGAGTTCGCTCGAAATAAGCAAGCAAGCAGCAAATCTCTTGAGACAAAATGGCCGCCACGTGACAAAGATCTATACTAAAACGCTCGTAGCATCGTAACAACGGTGACCGCTTTATTCAGTGACTCGAACTGAGAGATATACTTCTCTTCGGAATAATTACTCCTACTGTATGAATAGTTTGAAACAAGTATTTACTTTTTTTATCCTATTTTAAGTTATCTTCAGAATAAATTAACGAATCAATAATAAGTTATGCATACTGTATTTATTGTAGTCGTGCAAATAAAGCTTGTTGTTGTTGGTAAAGATAACGATGAAAGACAAACTTAGGACGGCTGGAGAGTGGCCTCAGCAGCCTTTAAAGTACATGTAACAAATATGGACAGTGTTGTATGAGCTAAAAAATTGGGACTCTTTCGTAGCTTGATAAAGGGACGTTTATTCAGGTTCCACCGCATATAATTCGCCACTTAAGAAACGATAAGGGGACTGGTGCCGAAATGTGTCGCGCAATAGGCAATTTCCGAGTTCCCCCGGGCCTCTGCACCAAAATGAGGTTCACTGCTCAGCCTTTGATATGCAAATGATTTTTCATTCTCATGCAAATTTTCACAAGAAACTGAAAGGTTGTGCACTTGGCCTCATTTTGAAAGTGAGGGTTTTTGGAACTCGGAAGTGGCCTATTGCCTCTGGGATCGATACCGGGGACGCGCTGGTCGGCTATTGGCCAATTTTTTTTCCCTGTTCTTAATAACAGTCCCAGAAGTCTTTGCGAAAGTTAACTTGGCCCAGTTTTTTCTTTTGGTCTCTAGAGTGGCGATAGCTCATTCACCACGCGCTCACCACGTGATTGCCAAGCTGTGATAGCATTTTAGAGGTTAAGGGTCTCGTGATCATCAGATTTCATCTTAAAATTCGTCTGCTTTCCATAACAAGCTTTCATACGGTTGTTCTGCCTCGGACGAAAGAAGCTGCAACAGATAAAAACAACAACCGTTATCTAGTCTACAACGTAAAAGAAAACTTCGACATTTTTAACACAAAGTAAAACAGTGCTCACCGGATATCACTGGTTGCCATTCTTTAGAAGTTAACAACGGCTCGAATGCTGCAAAAGAGAACCGAGACGATCACATAAAATCAGAAAAACAAAACAAAACAAAAATGAACACACCCTGGAACTTGAATTGACTTACTACTAGCTTCAGGAGTGAAAATAAATTATTCCCTGACTTCACAATACCGTATTTACCCCAGTGCACGCAAACTGCTCCGCACGTTTGTGACTTTGTTTTTACAACCCAATCCTTGGAGGGTTAGTATCTCATGTAAGACTCCATCTCAAAGTCCAATAAAACACTCCTGCTCGTGTTTGATATAATTATCACTCTTCGGCGTTGACAAATCAGTTTAAACACTCTTTCTTGGTATTACTTGTATACATTACTCCATGGTGTAAGGATATCATATCAAACACTCTTTTAAGTTTCTACTGTATGATCAAACCTTTTTCCAGCATGCATGAGATCAAAAGCTTCATTAATTTTATCCAGTGGCATCGTGTGAGTGATAAACTCATCCACCTTAAGTTTGCCTGCCAAGTAATCTTCCACGAGTTTGGGAACGCTGTCGCAACTCTTCCAACCTGTCATTACAAGTAAATAGTTTTTAGTGTTCCCCAGGGCTTAATACTCGGTCTATTACTGTTTACTGTTTCAATACACCCTTCCAATAAGTTATACAGCGGATGCTCTACGAGGACGACCCCCAAATGCTCAACACTAGTAAGGCTTCGAAACACTTCGTCGACTTTGTTACAAAAACTGCATCGGACTAAAGTCGATTGAAGCTTCTCCCAAGTCTAAGTATTGTCTAAAGGATAATCTAACTTCCATGGACTTTCATCAAAATAATCTTGAACTTAAGTAAAAAGACAGAATGGAGATGTGAAAGAGATCAAAAGTCGGTTTAAAGCTATTTGAAGGTGTTTTGTCAATCCCATCAACGTGAGCTAAATGTGTGTTTCCAGCCTGGCTGTGACTTTATTGTCAATATAACACGTACCCTTGTTTGTCAATTAGCATCAATGCACACAGATGTATTAACTAAAACATGCACCCAAACTGTTCTGAATTTTCTTCTTGTTCTTTCGCTTTCAACAAATTGCAAATTGAATTTCACTGCTCTTTACTCTTACTGATAATAAATTTTGTAATGCCTTGAAATTTCGGGGTGTAAAGAAAATAGATAAGAGCAAGTCTTTCACAATGAACTGTCTGGGGGTAATGTACAACCATAAAACAGGGCTTTGTTTAGTTATGTTATGGAGACAGTGAGGCACACAGTGACAAGGTAAAAAATACTTGAGATATCCTAATGAGATTTCCTTGCATGAAACATGGCATTTAAATTATACAACTTCGTTTCTCAGACCTTATTATGCTAAACAACAAATTACAATGTAGACCTAAGCATCCCTGAATAATTAGGAAATTAAGGGAGTCGATGAGTAAATTGATAGTATGAACCTCCAAATGCAGTTCCTTTCCAGACTCTTCCAGTCACAAGTTGGAAAGGCCTTGTGGATATCTCCTGCCCTGCTCCAGCAACTCCAATAATGACAGATGTTCCCCATCCTTTGTGACAGGCTTCCAAAGCAGCACGCTTAAAAACAACAGCATCCATGTCAGTATTCTAAGGCAGCAGGGGAAATAATGGTTCTAATTATACTGCGGCCAAATTTTTCATTTGTCATTTGTAATACACATAAAATTCCTCTTACCCTAAACCATCCTTACTTGTTACAATACATTATTCCCAAACATATCCATAATAATCAATGGAGGGTTCTTCTTGGTCAATAGAGGGGGATTTGTGGGAACACTTAAAATGTCCCACCCCCTCAAACAAGACTTACAAGAATGCTTCTATTTACAAAAACCTGTTTCCAGGTTGGCTTACAAAAATAAATAATAACTATGTACCACATTTATAAGACATAAAGTGTGTATGTGCATATACGTATACAGTTGTTCATACCATTGTTTTGACATTTCCAATGCACTCAAATGTATAGTCCAGGCCTCCATCTGTCATTTCTATAAGGACCTTATAGAACAAAACAACCATAATGATATCTACATATGCATTACAGGACATTTAACACATGTACTTGGGCCTTTGCAATTTCTTTTATAAATCTGCCACTTGCACATCTCCCGTAATATACCTTCTTTGCCTCCCAAAATTTTGGATAAGTATTAATGTCTCCAATGTCTCTTGAGACGACTGTAAATACCCGCAAAAAAGTCCCCCAGTCATTACATCCCCGTAACCTGTACTTCCCAACAACTAGTATACCGTAAAATTCCGAAAATAAGCCCCTCCATGTATAAGCCCCTCCAAAAGTGTTACGCCGCAAAATGTAATATTAACGCAAAATGTAATAAGAATCGCCGCAAAATGTAATAACATTGACGCAAAATGTAATAAAATTTTCAACGCAGAATGTAATAATCTTTCAACGCAAATTGTAATAACTTTTCTAACGCATAATGTAATAACGCAAAATGTAATAATTTCCGAATAACGACGTGCATGCTATTTCAAAATCCGTTGACAGTTTCCCATAATTATCCAAAAATTATAACCCAAACCAAATTACCCATACACCCTCCCCCTCAAGTGGTCAAAAACGGTCGGCCCTAAAAAGACGAAATTGCGCACTTTTTATGGATTTCCCAGTTCAAGATTTGGTGCCGTCAACTCTAAGCCAATGGCGATTGCGTTACTGAGCAAATTCAAGGTTTCGTTTAGCGTCGAATGCGTTTCCTGATATTGAGTCGGTCGGTCGGATTGAAAAAAAAAAAACTAAAAAAAAACTCACAAGAAGTCTCGGAACAGGAGGCCCTGGTACCCCAGGACGACGTTAAAAGTTAACATTCACATATTTGGATTAACAAAATGCACAATATACTGTAAAAAATGTTCATGTCTTTATTCCTGTTTTTCTCTATGCTGTTACTATGCTCATTTTTCAGATTAAAAGAATTATTTCAAGTGAAAAATGATTTAACTACGTCATTACTTTTTTTTTGAAAATGCCAAAAATTTGGGTCAGTCGGACGACGCTAAACGGAGAAAGAAAAAGAGGATGGCCTGTCTTCTAACCACAACTGCCTTGCCAGGCAAATTCAATATTTTTGTGCATCAGCTTAGCTCTACTCCAATCAAAAATGCGTTACTGGGCTAATTAAAAAATTTTTGCGCTATCTGTTCTAGGCAAACGACAACTGCCTTACAAGGCAAACTGATTTGACTTTGCAAAGCTTGGAAACTTCAACATAAAAGAAACTTCGACCTAAAAAACAGCATTAAGAACAATTCAGCCTCTATTAAGTGAGAACTTAGGAAAAGTAAGCTACAGCCAAAGTTGTCTGGTTCTCATGAAAAAAAGTTTGACAGATATCTTATATTTTAAATGCATTTCAATTATGCTTTGAAAGTTGATTCTATTACTTGTTTTCGACAACAGCTATTTTATTTGACTGAATTAAATTCAACATCTGAAATTAAACCAAGTCTCTCAGTTGCTACAGTGGTGGTACAGTACAGCAAGCTCTTGCAGCTATTTTTGTCTCGTCACACAACGCTCCTCCTCCTTTGTTGGGGAAGAGTGTTGCGTGACGAGACAAAACACGGCTGCGAGGGAGACTAGCTCAGCACGGAAGCCGTTATTTCATTAATAATAATAATAATAAGAAGAAGAAGAAGAAGAAGAAGAAGAAAATAAATATTATTACTATTATTAACATCAATATTGATAATAATAATTCAAATGAAGATCTGGATCAGCTACTGATTACTGAGCCACAATACCGATTTTGAAATAGCATGCATGTCGTTATTCGGAAATTATTACATTTTGAGTTATTACATTATGCGTTAGAAAAGTTATTACAATTTGCGTTGAAAGATTATTACATTTTGCGTTGAAAATTTTATTACATTTTGCGTTGAAAATTTTATTACATTTTGCGTCAATGTTATTACATTTTGCAGCGTAACAAGCCCCCAAACCAGTAACGCAAAAAACCCTCCGTTAAATTGCCCCTCCAACTATAAGCCCCCCAGGGGATTGTACTTGGAAAATTGCCCTCAAATACAAAGTAAAACAAAGCAAAAATGGCAAATTTCCTTCCAACTATAAGGGTAGCCCAATCAATTTTGAAATGCAAATTTCCCTCCAATAGATAAGCCAAGGGCCTTTGAAAAATATAAGCACCGGGGCTTACTTTCGGAATTTTACAGTATCCTTATTACACTAAATCTCTTTAACATTTCAAACATTAACGTTTAACAAAAAGCAAAAACCAGTCTTCCCAGACCTGCTGAATGGGTTTTTCATGGTCCTTTGGATTGACAAATTCTGTACAGCCAAATTCTTTAGCTGTTAAAAACAAAAGTAAAAAAAAAATGCAATCAAAATTTAATATTAAATGGATTAAAAAAAACAACCAGGCCTTACTTTATGAATACATATGACAGGCCTCATTCAGCTAATCCAAAATGAATTGTATGAATATGATAGAAAGAAATAGTAACCCAGCTGCATAAAATGGTATACCGGTACTATGATAAGTCAGATTCTCAACAAAAAAGGCCAAGAGGTGCTTTGAACAATGATTTAGCAACACTTACCCACAGGGAATTTATCAGGGTTGATATCTATCCCAATAATCCTTGAGGCCCCAGCAGTCTTACAGCCCATTACTGTCGCTAGTCCAACAGCTCCCAGTCCCCAAACAGCAGTCGTAGAACCAGCCTCTACCTGTACAAGACAGAAACAGTAAGGCCTGGTTCAGATGCTGAACTTTTCATGAGCTGAACCAATACATTGAATTAAGAACATGAAAAGTTCAGCGTCTGAATCAATTAAGAATGCCTGTTTCAATTTGGAACGGCTCAGCCTTTCTTTTCGCCTAGCCCGGCCAGGAATTTCTCCTTTGGAGTGACTTTGGAACGGCTTTGATTCAAATGCCGAACTTTTTATGTACCGAACCTAATGCATAAATTATTATAATTATATAATTATTATATTATTATAAACATATATTACTGTAAGCAGTTTGACCGAAATAAGCCTTTTTCTCCTTTATTTGGATTTAGTTCAGCTGCAATTAAGATCGGCGTCTGAATCAATTCAGCCATTCTCAATAATTTGGGTCAGCCTGAATTTGAATTAGGTTCGGCTCACGAAAAGTTTGGGGTCTGAATCAGGCCTAACATCAACTCTGGTAGGCATACTGTAGGTTAAGCTGCACTTAACCATTAAAAATGTATCAAATCCAGTATTTTGAGGAATGAAATATTCCAGGTAACCACTTTAATTTGTAACAATTTTCTTATCTATAGTTATTTACATGCAGACAGGCAGGGATAGGAATTATTCAATTATAAATCTGTTCTTTTTTGTAAAATTGGAGAAAAGATACTCATGGAAGACACAGCCTGACTTAAACTGGGAAATATTTTCATATCAGACGTTTAATCCCAACAGCACTTAATACAACCAAAAGAACAATGCACAGTTGATGCATTAAAATATTTGCTGGGATCCATTGGAATTATAAGATATCTTGAATCAGTACCTTCGCTGTGTTAAGTGCTGCACCATATCCAGTCGAAATACCACAACCAAGGAGACAAACTTTTTCAAGTGGCGCATTATCATCAACCTGGAATGCAAGTTACGTAACAGTATTTTAAATAAAGAAACAACAGTAAAATGAAGACAATTCTTAAATAACGCAAAAACAATAAAATCAAAGCAATGGCCGAATCGGTTTGTAAAGTGCAATTTCAATGCAAAAGTGAGAAACGCTGTCAGTCAGCTTGAAGGCTATTATTTTGTCAAAAAAAAAATGCAGTGACACTCACAAAGTCTCGAAAATTATTATAGCTACATTATACCAAATAAATAAAATTATTGATGTAAGAAAAACGTCACAACCATTACCTTGCAAACTGAAATCTCAGCAACAACAGTGTACTCACTGAATGTGCTTGTACCCATAAAATGATACACAGTTTGACCCTTGCATGTGAATCGTGAAGTTCCATCAGGCATTACTCCTTGACCTTGAGTTGATCTGTAATAAGGACAAGTAAATGTAGATGTATTTATGACTTTTCTAAACTCAAAATTCAAGAAAACCCCATAAACAGGCACCCCGTTCCCCTTCCCTCCCATTATAATATTTTTATAGAACATAATCATATCATGATAACACACCCTTCCCACTGCGGCTATTAGCACTGGATGAATGTTCAACCGGTAGAAAATTCATGCATTTACATGTAGTTGTCCCGTTCACATGGAACCACCTTAACCAGACAAAAAGTTAGATGCCTAGCCATTCAAAGTCCCATGTGAACAGAGCCCAAATATTTAATGGTCCTGTGTGAACGACCTGTCCAGTTAAACTTTTAAACCAGTCGAAAATCTGCACGGCGCCATGTGAATATAATGTAGCCTGAGTCTGCAGATAGTTGATATACACATGTAAAATAAAGATGATATTTACCTTATTGTACTGCAAAGGTTAGTCTTGGGGCTTTTACAAAACTTGCATTCTCCACATTGAGGGATATAAAGTGGAATAACATGGTCACCTGCCAAAAAATGGCATCATGAAATGTCGTTATAACTCTTGACTCAGCTTGCCTGTATCACAGATGCAATCTAGCCCCAGGCAGTGCCAAGATCCTTGCCCTGAACCCCCTACAGACTCAATAAAAAGACTACAAGTGCATTTAGAATTTCCTTTCAACCTGAATGACAAATTGACTACAGGCCAATCATATAGTGCATACTCAAATCCTAGTAAACTGCTAGGGGCAGCTGAAAAACTAGCCCGTCATCTCAAAAAGTGATTGCAGATCTCTCAGAGGAGGTGGTTAATCATGAGAAGTTCCAGCTATAAGGTTTTGACTAGTAAAGTTTTGGTGCTTTCAAGAACTGGTCGCTAATGGAAGATGGTCAGTTATGAGGGGAGGTTGCACATGGAGGTAACTTGACTTTACTCAAATACAGTTTCAAGAGATGAATCAAACTTTGCACAGGACTTACCAGGTTTGACTCTTGTTACTCCTTCTCCTACACTTTCAACAGTGCCACCTCCTTCATGTCCAAGAATAACAGGAAACTTTCCCTCAGAGTCATTGCCGCTAAGAGTGTAACTGTCTGTGTGACAAACACCAGTAGCGATAATCTTGATGCGTACCTCACCAGCTTTGGGTGGTGCCACTTCAACTGTTTCTATCGTAAGTGGTTTACCAGCCTCCCAGGCTACTGCCGCACGGCAGGATATTGGCTGCAATTAACAAGAGCGAAGGGGAGGATAGATGTTAATAATCGCTGATGAAGTCTACAGATTTTAGATCTCCAGAGGTTGGCAACTCTGGATTTTGGCCCGAAAAAGACCAATGGTACCAGAGCCCTCCAGGATACAAGACCTAGTGTACCCATATCTATACAAGACCCTTCTTTGATAGCCATGAACATTTACTCAAAATGGGTCCGGTAATGTTCACAATTTTTTTCCCAGCAATGAAGAATACACGTAATGCTCTAAATTGCGCTTAATGTCCTTAATGCCAAAATAATAAAGCTAGATGAATCTGAAAAATCCAGGCTGACTTCAAGCTATATGGAAAAATGCAAGATGCCAGATAGAAAATGCGAGATGTTACATAAAAAATCAGAGATTCAAGGTAGAAAATAGACGCAAAACATATTTCCAAGATGCAATATCAAAAATCCAAAATCTGACATATAAGTGTTTTACCTGGCATCTCACATCTCCATTTTAATCTTGTATCACGCATATTCCGAGTCTCACATTTCACATCTCGCATCTTGCATTTTTTACTTGCGCATTTCTCAAGACAACCGGGGACGAGTCAGCTGTGCATCTCGCAGGTTATATCTCACACCTTGCATTTTTTTAACCTCGCATCTCACATTTTTTTATTCCATTCTTTTGCATTTTTTATTTCTCATCTCATATTTTTTAATGCCACATAATGTGACATATGTCCATGTCTATGACATATGTATGACATATGTCATAGACATTTTCATAGACACATATGACATATGACACATGACATATGAAATATGACACATATAATGACACATATGACACATATGTCATAGACATTTTCATAGACATATGTCTACGTCCCGGTCCCCCCCCCCCCCCCGGGG